TAGGGACAAGTAAAAAATTTGTGTAGCAGTAATTTCGCCCAAAATTATTCTTAACCTAACGAAAAAATATATATTTCACTGTGATTGTTTAGCATTAAATTATTGAAAACAAATCTAAAATATATTTAGTTGGGTTAGGCGAAAATAAATTGTTCTAGTTATAATAAGGTTAGGCAAGTTTTCTAAGTTCCTTTGATGCAAAATTATAAATTTTTACGTCAACTTTAAAATGAAAAAATATATTTCAAAAACGTATAAGAGAAAATTTTAGAAAGGACTTAATTTAAATGAGTTTTTGCTAATTGACCAGTTTTACATATTCGGCACGACATTATATAATATATATATATATATAATAAAATATTTATATATATATATATAAATATATATATATATATATATATATATATATATATATTATATAATAATATTATATATATATATATATATATATATATATATAAAATAATATATAATATATATATATATATATATATATATATATATATATACATAAGATCCAAGAGATACACTATTGAATATAAAGGTGGCACATACGGTACATGTCTTTTACGTGTGTATCACCGATTATAAGGCAAAAATCTCATCCAGCTCCTCAGAGCTGGGGCGTGTCCCCAAAATACAGCGGCATTACCCCTTTGAACAGCCGCACTGAGCCGCTGGAACGGAAAACTAGCTGCCCTGGGATCCCTAGTTACCCTGATGAGTCTTTTTCCCAGCTCCTTAAGGAATTTAGATCCACTCTTTCCCCATGAGCCAAAAGGGTCTCTGAGCCTATGGGAACAAACATATAATGATTTGCAAGTTCTCCATATTTTCTAGACTTTTGGGACTCCCTAAAGCTGGCAGCTGCCCCTCCTTCCTCCCTGGTGTTTGGAGATAGGTATCACCCAAGGTAGATGCACAAGTTTTAGTCCCACACCACCTGCCCCCCATCTGTCCAGGCTTGAAGGGTGATACCATCTGGACGCTTCTGGCTGCCATCAGATCTGCCATAGTTGGGGTGGCTCCCTTATGCGGGGGCATCCAGCTGTTGTGAGGCTCCTCTAGATAATGTTAATAACCTCCTAATGTCTTGCAGTCTTTCCCTCGGATTTACGTCACACAAGACCATGGTACCCCCGAATCGGTCTGCTGCTTCACTGCCACAAATACACCTGTGTTCGGCGAGAATAGGGACGGCAAGTCGAAGGGCAACACCGATGCGGTGGTCTGTGGGTCGAGACGTGTGCCAAGGCTGGATTGGGAACAGCCAACAGAAAGTCCCCAGAAAGAGGGCTCTCACTGCCAGGAGGCGGGCCTATCCTTCCCTGACACACTCTGAAGCATTGTTGAGGCAATTTTTCCACTATTGGACCATCCCAGTGCGATTGTTTGTAGTTGTTGGGGGGAGCAGGTCTGGCTCCAGAGCCCGTTTTATTATCCCAGATCATTGCTTCCCCTCAATTTAATTTTGGTCCCTGGACTCCTATCTTGTCCCCAAGATGATCAGGGAAATCGCTGCTACAAGCTCTCTGGATGCAATACACAGGACAGAAAAGCAGGTAACGCAATCTGTGATGACTTGCGGACACCAATGCCTCCTAGTCTGACTGGAAGTGTTTGCTTGGTTCCACTGCCCGTCTTCTAGAGTAAGGTTTAAGTACTTCCCTAAAAATCGCCTCGAAAAACTGTCATATTCGTGCAGTATAGGGGTTTTCATATGAAGTGCACATCTTAGGAAATATGTCAACCTGGGCAGACTCAAGCACTTTGTGAAAGGTACAAGGCATCGTGGTGTCCAGATTGCCTATTCGTTGTTCCATCCTCCTTAACTCTTCCAATTTTCTTCCTGAGAATTGTGTCCCAAAGGCATTGCTTCCCCGAGGTGCTCCCAGCAAGAACACTATTTGGGGGCAATGACTGCTGCTCCTGTAGTTTTGATCTCACTGCATTTATCACTTGTTGACTGACTGAGATGATTTCACATTTGGATGGATTCAGGATGAGACCCATTTCCTGTCCCCGTGTCATTACTGTGTAAGGTCATGTAGGAGGGACTCTTTTGTACCTGCTAGTGTGCCATCATCTAGGAACCAATGTTTAGCTCGCTGGTCATCTGACTATGATTTCCCTAACGCTATACAGAAGAGAAATGGTGCAAGAGGATCTCCTTGTTGGACACCCTCCGATGATGTAAATTTCATGCTCTCCAAAGAGAAGCAATTTATTCCTTGCTAATACCCGGTTTGAAACAAAAGGGAAGAGACCAGGGAAATGTTCTTGTACTGCTGCTAATACCCACGTCTCTTTCAGGAGATTGAACGCATTCTTGAATCTAATTTTCCCACTGCATTGTCCTCAGGCAGGTTGTTGATATACGCCCTTGTTGCAAAAATGAACCGCTGCTCACTTCCTATATACATACATATATATATATATATATAAATATATATATATATATATATATAATATATATATATATATAAATATATATATATATATATAAAATATAAAATATGTATATATTATATAAAATATATATATATATATATTTTATATATATATAATATAAATATATATATATATATATATATATAAAAATTATATATACATATATAAATAATATATAATATATATATATATTATATAATATATATATATAAATAAATTATAAAATACAACAGTGACTCAGCAGGAATACAGAATCCTAGCTGTTTCAGTGCCATCACCGAATGGGAGACTCTTGTTGCTCCAGTACCAAACCCTAGTGCATTACTGGCTCACAAACAGTCAAGCTGGGATGGCCCGGTTGCTGAAAAGGTGCTTGCCAACATGCTCAGGGCTGCAACATCAGATAGGGAGACTGGCTGTCTCCAGATTGTGAGTGCACATCACTCCAGAGATTTCCTCCAAACAGTTCCCATTTCCAGCAATGGGAACGCGACTCGACCCTTAGACCCTCCACATTGCAGTGGCTCTGCGCCTTGCTGCCCCAATTCAAACAGAATTTATGGGCATTTGCGGCGAAGTGCAGGCAGACCAATACTGTCTACATGGTCTTAACTATTCCAAAACCAAGGGCTGGCATGAAAGACACAATGAGGTCAACGACATCATTAAGAGAACCCTTGCTACAGCTGGATGCCCAGCAGGGAGGGAGCCCCGATCACAACCCAGCAAACCGCCTCGACAGGATTACCATCTATCCTTGGAAGAATGGCAAGCTCTTAGCATGGGACTATACCTGTGTGGCCACACTTGCTAACACCTATATCCATCACAGTGTGGGGTGACAGGGAGGAGCTTCTGACCACAGGGAGGAGAAGAAGATCAGCAAGTACAGGGACATAAGTCAACAATATCAATTTGTCCCAGTGGGATCAGAGACCTTGGGATCATGGGGAAAAAATGCCACACGTTTCCTTAAAGAATTGGGTACCAGACTCATCGACACCACCAGGGACCCAAGGGCAGCCACTTTCATGTTCCAGCGCCTCAGCTTGGCCATCCAAAGGAGAAATGCTTGCTACATACTTGGCTCACGTCCGGCTTCAGAGGAGCTGGAGGAAATTCATAATCTTTAATACATTGTACCATTGTATTCATGTTTGTGTTTTTCTGTAAATGTATTCTGTTTATTAAAAAATGTTCACATAGAATAAAAAAATATGGGGGGGTGGTAGGAGAAGAAAATATTCAAACAGCCCCGGGGGAGAACCTTGAGTTTATCATCTTCTCTGAGGATGAGGGTCCCCATTCCAACTATAGAGGTGGTACTTCCTTATAATATATATATATATATATAATATAAAATATAATATATAAATATAAAATATATATATATATATATATATATATATATATAATCCATAATATATATTATATATATAAAATATATATATATATTATATATAATATATAAAATATAATATAATATAAAAATAAAATTTATATATAATAAATATATATATATAATAGGGAGGTAGCACCTCTGGAACTGTCCTGGGGACCCTCATTCTCAGAGAAAAGAATAAACTTACTTCAAGGATAACTCAAGGTTCTCCCTGAAACTGTTTGAAAATTTTCTCCTGCCACCTCTCATATTTAATATAAATTTTATTTAAAGAGAAAATACATTGACAATAATGCAATAAAGAGTAAAACAACATAGATGACAACTCAGAGCTACATCTCAAATACTTCGTCCAGCTCTCTGCGGTGGGCCGCGTTCCCAGAATGGTGCAGGCATTTCCACTCTGGATAGCAACACAGTCCCTGAAAGAGGAAGCTGACCGCCCTGTGGTCCTTGGTTTCTATGATGAGTTTTTCACCCAGCTCTTTGAGGAACTTTACAGCACACTTGCCCCATGCTCCATTGGTCTCCGACCCTATTGGGATGACGTTATAGTAAGAGAAGGCCTTCATATTTGCGGGTCTTTTGGGTCTCCAAGTGGCTGGCTGCTCCACTCCCTTCAACTACGGAGTATGTTAAGTAGGTGTCTGCTAATGTGGCGGCACAGGTGTAGTCCCAGCCAATCTGCTTTCCATCCTTCCAGGGTAGCATAGTGGCTCCATTAGGGCGCTATTGACTTCCGTCAGAACTCTGCACTTGGGGCTCCCGTTGGGCTTGGCAACGGGCTGTAGCGAGGCTTCTCTTTATGATGTCATTGACCTTCTCATGTCTGGCATACTACCTTCTGGTGTGTGACACACGAGACCATGAAGTCCGAATTGATCAGCCGTCGCCCTGCTGCAAATACAATTATGTTCGGTGAGGATGGGGGCTGCTAGGCGGAGAGCAACATCAATCCGAATGGCCAGTAGGTCGATTCGAGTGCCTAAGGAGGAAATGGGAACAGCTAGAAGGAAATCTCCTGAGTGTGGTGCCTTCACCGCTTTGTCCTTTCCTGAAGCGTTGGTGAGCATTATGTTGGCGATTTTTTCCATGATCGGTTTGTCCCAGTGGGACTGTTTGTGCTCTTTGGGAGAAGCTAATCTACTGGAGGAGTCTGCAAGGGTGTCCCACCGCAAGGCTGCTTCAGTGAACCTTGGGTCTTTAGCTCCTACCGAGTCTCTCATTCGTTCGGGGACAATCTTCTTGACTAATCCACTGGAAGCCAAACACGAAGACAGAAATGCAGGTAACGCTACCTGCGTTGCTTTGCGCAGCGCTGTACCCCCCAGTCGCACTTGGATAGTTGCCTGATCCCATTGCCGATCCTCTAGTGACAGATTCAGTGCCCTCTTAAAGGTTGATCTCAGGTGTGCGTCATATTCTTCGAGTGTTGGGGTGTCAAAAGAGAGTGCATACCTCAGTAAGCGAATCTTGGCATAGTAAGACACCTTGTGAAGAGATACAGGGCATCATGGCATCAAGATCACTTACTCTTTCCTCCATTCTCTTTAGGCTATTCAATTTGTCCTTGAGGACCGTGTCGATGGCCTGGTGACCCAGCGGTACTGTTAAATGGAGTGGTACTAGAGACTTCCGGAGGACTGTTCGCACAGCATTGATTATTTCCTGATTCGTTGTGATGATTTCACACTTGGATTTCACACTGTGTCTTCACCAGTTGTAGGGCCTCTATCAGGGACGCTTCAGTACCTGCCAGAGTGTCATCATCCAGGAACCAAATGTTGAGCTCGCTGCCAAGCAGAAGAGAAATGGAGCTAGTGGATCACCCTGCTGAACACCTTCTGATGAGAGAATTTCATGTACGCAAACAAATGAACCGAGGGTTTGCTGTAGCCGGCTGAAATGAATGGAAAAAGACTGGGGAACCGATCTCGAACAGCCGGCAAGGCGATGTCTCTCTTCATCATATTAAAGGCATTTCTAAAATCAAGTTTGACTACGGCCTTGTCTTCTGGTAGGTCCCTGATGTAGGCCCTTGCCGCATGAGCTGCGGCATGAAATACTATTAAAGTGGGCAAGAATATATAATACAAAAAAATAGAATAAAGTAAAAATAAATCTTAAGTAATTTATTTTTAATATCTTCCTCCATCATTTCTACAGGTTCCACCACCGGCCGAATTTGCTGGTGGCGATCGTGGAGTCTGGCTTTTGTAGGATAGTGACGGTAAATGACCCAAGTTCGGGGGTTCCCAGGGTTCAGTTCCAGGGCTCCTTGGTAAAGATGATTGAATACCTCTCTGGTGCACTTAACTTCACGTAAGTAAACCCAAGAATATTAATGATAGACATGACAGGAAGAGTGGTGAATGTACATGGCAATGTGCATTAACTAGCCGTAGATGGGACAAGAAAAGCCAGTCACAGAGCGGGGGACATGAATATCTACCCTATGCACAATTCCATGTATATTTCCTGATTTTGCAAGCATGTGCAATATGTTAAGAGAAGAAGTCTTGCTTCTCTCTTACACTTGTTCTTACTTATTAGCGATTCTTTATTATTTGACCCTTGAATGTCTGTTCTACGAAATTTATTCTTTTTTGTTATAAATAACATATTATGTAATATAATAATAATATAAATTTTTATTTATATATATATATATATATATAAAATATATATATATATATATATATATAAAAATTGTATATTTTCGTGCCGAATATGTAAACTGGTCAATTAGCAAGAACTCATTTAAAATTAAGTCCTTTCTAAAATTTTCTCTTTACGTTTAAAGATATATTTTTTTCATTAGTGTTAATGTATTTTTTTTAATTTTGCCCCAAAAAGAAACTTAGAAAACTTACTTAACCTTATTATAAAAAGGGACAAATTTATTTTAGCCTTACCCAACTAAATATGTTTTAGATTTGTTTACAGTTTAAATTTAAAAATAAACAAAAACAGTGAAATATATTTTTTTTTTGTTAGGTTCAGAATGATTTTTGGGGAAATTATTACAAAACACAAATTTTCACTTGTCATATATGGCAAGATGAGCATTGCCTATTTAAGCCAAGATCGCAAGTTCGCCTTTTTGGCACGACTTATATATATATATATATATATATATATATAAAATATATTTTATTTTAATATATAATATATATATTTATATATATATATAAAAATATATTATATGCAAGACACGTGAAATGGAAATCTTTAGCTCAAGTAATTTCACATGTCTCTGTGCGTCATCAGTAACTATGCAATGTTGCAAGAGTAGCAACAGCAGAAATGAGGGAAAGTTTTCTCAGAGTAAGATATCGTGGTGACCCCAGCCAGTTTCTCTGGGATATAAGAGACACCGTTTGCCTCACAACCACCTTTCATCACCACTCTTACATGGAATAGGGTAGAGAGGGTCTCCGAGTTTACAAAAGGTAGGAAACAGAATAATAGATTTAATAGCCTGCCCTAAGTTACATCTAATAACCGTCAACAAGTCATTTGACATAACAGATTACGTTGCACTAGTGGATAATTCACTTATAAAACTGATATTATATTTAAATTTTCTAATTAATTAAAGAGTTGAATGTGCTAATTTGTCTGCTTAAACTACAATACTTCCCGGAGGTTTCTAGAATATTTAAGGAAATGCTTGGAAGAATCTTCTCACATTTTCCTAAATACTGCCTACCAATATTCTTAGTATTAATTATTATCACTGTACCTTGGTTATTTATGAATCTCCCACAGTATTCCGATTATTCTATATGACCTAATAACCAGACAGTTCATGAATTTTCCGTTCAACTTTTATCACAACATAACGGCTTAACCGTGTTGGGTTGTAATCCACTAAGCTAGTCGCAATCACCATGTTGCGATCGCTGACTGCAGTCACTTAATCTTATGTACCTGTACCAGTATGGTACCTTCATGCAGCTGTAGATGGATTTGCTCCTAATGGTTATATACATTTCTCCATGGTGAAGTGGAACAGAATTCTTCCTCCGTAGGCCATGCGTGTCATAAGAGGCGACTAAAGTGCCAGGAGCAAGGGGGCAGTGGCCCCTTCTCCTGTATACATTACTAAATTTAAAAAGATAAATTTTCGTTTTTTTTCGGTCACCCTGCCTATGTAGGATACGGCCGGATCGTTGAAAAAAAAATTTATTCATTATACCAAAGGGCAAGATATGTTCGCTACAGATGAAACACGCAGGATAGGTGTGGAGAATACTGGTTTAACATCACCAAATCTTCACAAGGCAATCTTGAGATTTTGTATAGCACTGTTGTTTCTGGTTTTGCATAATAAACGGCCATTAACAATCTTCACATGTCATACATACAGTTAAAATAACATTATATATGCCTAACTAACACACGCTGTAGTATTTTGGTTCTTTCTTCTCTCACCAATACTTCAGTAGTTCTATATTCTGAATTGCCAGTTGGCTGGTCTAGAGGGCATACCAGTGGGTGTGTGATGAACGACAAATGTATGTAACATACGGAGCATGCCACAGGGGCTAAAGTCTTGCAGGTTACAAGAGCTATATCTATCATCATTCAATAACCGGTTCGAATGAAAGGATTTCCTGGTAGGTGCATGACATATTTTATGTGGAGCAGTCAAAAGAATAGTGGAGAGACAACTGCCAAACCTGGGGTTTTAATTCTGGTATTCTCTTTCAATCATTACAATAGTAATACGATTTTTCAGTACACATAATCTTGTATGTAACCTTTAATTTGCTGTATATATTTATATATGTATCTCACCAGGTACTCCTTCATGCGACCTCCGGACTCAGTCTGGGGTGTTAGACTAAATAATGGTTCATGGACCGGCATGATGGGCATGGTGGTGAGGGAGGTCAGTGTAGCGAGGCATTGTTTGAAAAAAATCAATCGTATCTCGCAGTCGCAAAAGGAAAAATATATATATATTTAGTCTCCCATCCTTGGTCTGAACTGGAAGGCCAGGTTTGATGAATAAAACACATGTGCAAACGTTTTAATTTCATAATAGCATTTTTTCCAATCTAATATCGACATGACTTTAATATTGGAGACAGTAGCAGTGGAGAGGAAATTTAAAGAGGCTCAGTCTCTTAGTCTAGACGGATCAAGTTACAGGGACTCAAATATTAATTTATGTCAGCTTGGTTTTGAAGTTTAAAAATATACATGAATTTTATAAAGGATTTTATTCAGACAGTAAACTCGGTTAGCTTGTATTTTCATTGAGTATTTAATTAAATGACTACTTTGATAATTGCATAAAACCTCGTTAGTTTTCTTACAGGAAGTAACTATCAGCGCTGGCCCTTTCATGATCGATAGATGGCGAGCCGAGGTGGCGGACTTCACTGTACCAATATTTTTAGACTACTGGAGGATCCTGGGCGTTCGTGGTGTTCCAGAGGTGGACCCCTGGGGCTTTTTATTCCCCCTGGCACCACTGGTGTGGGCGGCCATCCTGGGGACGCTGGTGGTGCTTGCTGCTGCAGTGTTCCTCATGTATTCCTGCGGCTCTCTCAAGAGTGCTGACCACAACTATTGGTTACAGGTCTCCTTCGGCTACTTTCGGATATTATTACAACAAGGTAAGTTTTTTCTCATGACTTCATCACCTGACCTTTCTTCAAACTTTCTCCTCACCTCTTCACTTGACTTTTCATAGCTGTGACTTGATAATGGTCGTATCGAAAAACATAAATACATTTGCTTTTTCGACAACATAATCAGTGCTTAAGAGCCTCGTTGTAACTCTCATAATCACTTCGATAAATGGGAAGATAGAAAATTAGTTATAAAACAATCCGCGTTTCTTAGGGTATCTGAAAACGCCTCTAATACATTCATCAAAACTCACCCAAAACAATGTCAGCTTCAGCAGCATCTCAAAAAATTATCAAAATCATATTACGACCCCCTATTACTGATGTTACTTAATATATATATATATATATATATATATATATATATATATATATATATATATATATATATATATATATATATTATATATATATATGATAATTTTTGCGTTTTTAACTACCCTTTACTATAAAGCCAATGATTTTTTTTCACTAGCTATTTTATCACAATTTCTTGCTGATTATATATTCATTGTTCTGTCAAGGTATGCACTTAGGACTGATAAAGTTTCTGGCGAAACTGTGACCTCTAACTCCAATAC